TTGGCCACACTTGAGGTGCACTGGCCACACTTGAGGTGCACTGGCCACACTTGAGGTTCATTGGCCAAGAATTGCACCTGTCTCCCACGTGGAAGGTGAAAATTCTACTAGGGAACCACCACTGCCCCCTATTTCTATGTTAGTGAATGTCACATGGGTAGGTGTTTTTTTCTTTATAGAGATGTTGTAAGAGGAGCAGAATCTAGCAGAGAGGGCTGTGAAGCAGCAGACAGAAATCTTTGGGAAGCAGTGGAGAAAAATAAAATTAGAAATGTGTTTATCAGTTCAGATGCATGAAGCTGAGCCCCATTGATTTTGGGTATCTTATTCTAACGCTACCACTCATAAAAGGGAATAGTTAACTTTTCTCAAGGACTTAATCTTTGACCGCACAGACTCAACCACATAGTGCATTGACCTTATAAAAATAAGTGTACACATTATGATTAGGAATCCTGGTGGTGCAGTGGTTAAAGCAATCAACAGATGACCCAAAGGTCAGTGGTTCAAAACCACCGGTGGCTCTGCAAGAAAAAGATGTGGCAGTGTGCTTCTGTAGAGATTTACAGCCTTGGAAACCCCATGGGGTCGCTTTGAGTCAGAATCAACTAGACAGCATTGAGTTTGGCTCTTTTTCTTTTTTGCACATTGTAATTACATTTTCCTGGTGAGAGAGTCTCCTCCACTGAGTTTCAGGTAGTTGTTGATGTTAGATACCGTCGAGTGGCTTCCAACTCATGGCCACCCTGTGCACAACAGAACGAAACACTGCCTGGTCTTCTGCCATCCTCAAAATTTCAGGTAGCTAGCATAAAATTGCTCTTCTCATCAAACAGTGGAAGTAAATCTCCAGACCTAGACTAAGTATCTTTAGATAGTGCAGCTAATTGAAAAACTTTGCCAAGTTTGAGATAACAAAATTTCAGAAGATTAGCAATTGAAAATATGGGAAAAGGATATTTAGATTTTTAATGAGAGGATTTTTGGTCTATTAGCCATGATTTTATTTTATTTTTTACCGCATAATGTTCATTTCCAAATTTTTAAGTAGGTTTTAAGCCTGTATTTGCTGGATAAGGCAGGGAAGTTTTTCCTTGATAGAATTATTTCTCTTATCTCATTGTTTGGGAACAAAAACCTTTTTTTAAAAAAAAATTGAATTTATTATATATTACATAGATCTTATTTGTTTTTATTTTTTCTTACCAGTTGCCATTGAGTTAGTTTGCTTATAGCAACCTCATGTGTGTCAGAGTAGAACTATGATCCGTAGGGTTTTCAGTGACTGATTTTTCAGAAGTTTCAGATGTGTCTCTGGGTGGACTCGAGCCTCCAACCTTTCAGTTTGCAGCCAAATATGTTAATCGTTTACACCACCCAAGGACTCCAAATATAATAACCCTTAATTAAGAGATATTAGTTATGTTTATTTTCCTATATTCATATTAGCTCCTTTCTTTTCCTTTTGCAGAACTTGGAATCAATTTTGATCACATTTGGCAAAAAACCTTGACAGTGTTAAACCCACTGAAACCAGCAGATGGCAGCATTATGAATGAAACGGATCTTGCTGGTCCCATTCTTTTTTGCCTCGCCCTGGGAGCCTCCCTGCTTATGGTAATGAAAGGCAGCAAGCACCAGATTTTAATGCTGGTCCCTTTCCAGTCTCAGTGTTAAAGAGATCTTTGTTAACACAAAAGAAAGTTTATCGCATAGAGTGGAAAATGCTCAAGACTTCATTTTTGGTGAGAGAGACATATTTAAGTGAACCGTAGGGACAAAAAGAAACTGTCATCATGAATTACAACAGATCAGATACATAAATTTAAATAGATTTTTTTTAAAAAAGTCAAATTTTTATCATAGCAAGAGATGATTTATGTCTTACTCTTCATTTTGTTGCTTGTTCTTCATTTTGTTATTGAGAAAAGACTGTCAGTGTGGAATAGTTAAAGGAACACATGGGTTTGGGCTATATAAGGCTAAGTTTCATTGCCTGTTTAACCGTGAGATTTCTGTTGTGATGCTGGGCTAATCCTTTCTCCTCTTTGCTCCTCATTTTCTTTGCTAAGGTAAATGTCAAGAGTATTTCTAACAACCTCTGAGATATGCGATGGATCTCCTTGTTGCTGCACAGGCTACTGTGAATAAATTGACTTACAATGATAACATGATTTATTTATTCAACTTATATATTTCCCCTGTTATTTTAGTTTTCTGCTTCATGAAGGCATCGCTTCCTGATTTCAATGTTTTTGTGTATAGGCTACTTTCATTCTTTATATTTAGCAGTAATGATATTGAGAATCACCAAAAAAGTTAAGAAAAGCACATTTTCACCTAAATCAAGTTTAGAAGACCCTCTAGCTCATAATTTAGAAAAAGACTTCATTAAAAAAGAAGAAACAAGAAAAGGTCTGTGAGTTTAGACCAAGAAGAAAATGACAATACATTAAAAACAAAATGAGAAAGATGTTTTAAGCAGTCTGAAAAGTACAGTTACATTAAGGCACAAAGAGATAAACTTGGTAGGAGAAATAGTACAGCAAATTTAAGATTCTAGAAAAGGCTTTTTAAAGAACTATTTAGTCTCCTTTTTCTCCTTACTGCTGTCTACTTCCTACAAAATTAAAAATTATTTTAAAATGTTGCTACAATTTTTAATACTAGCTGTAAAATTTATTTGCAACTAAATAAATTTTTCATTTTTAATATATTAATTACATAATACTAATCAAAATATAAATAGCATTCTAATTTCCTCCTGGTAATGTGACCAATAATCACATTATATTTATTCAATACAATCGTATTTAGTGATAACATTTTTTCCTGTGTTCTACAACAAATGCAAATTCTCTGTAACTCAAACACTGTATCAACTAGAGTTTTAATTCAGTCTCTAAACCTTCCTCGTGTCTTTGTCACAGTGATTTGATAATCTTAGATTAAGCTGCTAACTGAGGCCATATCAATTAATCAAACAGTCAGAAACAATCAGTTTAATATATTAACTCATCTTTCTTTCTCAAGTCATTTGTGATACAGCTGTTGGTTTTTCTGTAGAAAACATTACTGTTAACATTCCTTAAAGGAAAGCATCATTGTTGTTGTTAGTTATGGTCGAGTCGATTTTGACTCACCTGAACCCCATGTGTACAGAGTAGAACTGCTCCCTGGGGTTTTCAAGACTGTAATCTTTTGGAAGCAGATGGCATGTCTTATCTTTCAAGGCAACTTTGGGTGGGTTTGGAGCCCTGGTGGCATAGTTGGTAAGAGCTACAGCTGCTAACCAAAAGGTCGGCAGTTCAAATCTACCAGCTGCTCTTTGGAAACATTATGGGGCAGTTCTACTCTGTCCTGTAGGGTCACTGTGAGTCAGAATTGATTTTACCATTAGTTGTGGTAACTTCAGAATTGATTCTGAGAAATATGGAACAGTAACGACAAAAAACAAAACAAACAAAAAACACCTGGATATTACTTGAAGCAAGATTTAATGCAGAATCCATTTGAATCTAGGTTGTCTCTGCTCCAGATATCTAGAATTCAAATGTAAGGCATGATTTTATGGAATGGTATAGGCATTGTGGAAACCCTGGTGGCATAGTGGTTAAGAGCTACAGCTACTAACCAAAAGGTCAACAGTTCAAATCCACCAGGCGCTCCTTGGAAACTCTATGGGTCAGTTCTACTCTGTCCTATAGGGTCACTACGAGTCGAAATTGACTCGACGGCAGTGGATTTGATAGGCATTGTCCTAGAGACAGCATAACTAAATCTAGAAACAATATCTAAATCTAGAAACAATATCCAAACCTATTCATTATATCCTGAGATGTAAGTTCATAGTCATGTGCTCATCATTTTATATATATATATGTTGATATAAGGCACAGTATTTTTTAGTGGATTTTCTCCAGGTTGAAAGAAACAAACCAAAGAGAATAGCTTCAAACACTTAACACAAATTTAGTTTTACTTATTCTTACCCTCTCCCTAGTTATTTCCACTCTCAACACTATGAAGACAAGTGGTTAAAAGCTATGTTTCCTTTTAATTTTTCTGGTAAAGAGTGTGATTCTGGAAAAGGAAAATGCATGGCCAATATAGAAGTATAATCAGAAGAACAATAAGTATTTTGAAACATGATGTGTTAATAAGGTTGTAGGAAAGAATCCTGAGAAATTTTGAGGTAAAAAGCTCAGTTTTTGCGGTAAAGTTTTTTGAGGTAGAAGCTATTAGTAGAATTTGAAACCAATTAAAAAATGTCAGTGTCCCCTGCCAAAGGGAATTAAAATTTAAATTGGATAACCTAATGAGAGAAAGAGATGAAGAGGGAGATCATTTATCAATATGAAAAGGCACAATTTTACTACCAAATTATCTCCATCACTCCTTATTTGTCCACCCATTCATAAAACTGCTTTTGGGATTAGGAAGTTCCAGTTATGTGTCTTTTAGGTGTAAGAAAGAGTTGCCTTTCAACAAGCATTACAACAAGCACTACCTCAGAATATTTCCATCTGATTAAAATATTAAGTAGAATGCTTCTGTAGAACATGGAAGTGACTTTGAAATTATCATTGTTTTCTAAGATGGAGCAAATCCATCCAAAAGAGCAGTGCATGACTGATTTTTGTTTTTAGTATGCCCATTATTAGCTTTCTTTTATAAAATAGAGAATGCAAAAAAACACTCAATGACAACTTATCTGTAGCTAATGTAGAACAGAATTCTGACAGCATAGCCCAGGGAAGTTTTGTAAAAGGACTTAGTAGTTACCAGCCTCTCCAACTATGGAGGAAGAAGAGTCCAAAATAGCTGGAAAATTTTGAACAACGCTGAAATGGTCATAACATTCTCCATTACCCTTAGTCACTTGCAAAATAACAATTTCTTTAATTCTGTAAGACATAATAAGGACTTTATGGATCACAGTCATGGAAAAGGAAAAATGACAGCTGAAAAGCTCTCTCTGAATCAATTTGCAAGATCCCTCATTGATCTATATAATTCCTATGAAAACCTGAGTCAGCTTATTCAGTGTTTATCTAGATTTTCTAATCAGCTCAATGTAAATATAAAATATAAATGCAGTCTTCATTAGAGCTTCTCAGGTGACCAATGTTAAATATATACCTTGTTGAATTAATAGTAGGCTGTGACTTTCACTGAATGAGTTAATTGAGGCTATTTTATCTCTTAGTCCCTAGTGTTTTGTGGGTGATGGTTATTTCTATGAGTCCCCCTCAGATTAATGGTGTACCCTGAACACTACTAACTCCTTTATCAGTCCTCCTTTTATGATTTGTTAACAGGTAGTTTATATAAGTCAGTTTTTCACAAAATATGTTCAGTGAAACTGGTGATAGGAATTATGAAAAGCAGTGATTCTGTGGCCAAATAAGTTTAGAAAATGCTAAGCTAAATAAAGTCAAGTAAGTCGTGTTATTTCAGGACTTGTTACTGCTCCTATAAATGATAAGGGCCTAAATTTTAGAGCCAACTGCCTGGGTTCAAATCTGAGCTCCACCACTTAGCATTATATTGCCTTGGGCAAGTTATTTAACCTCTCTTCCCCTCAGTTTCTTCATGTGTAAAATTGGTATAATAATGGTACCTATTTCATAAGGTTGTGTGGATTAAGGAGCCCTGGTGACACAGTAGTTAAGAGCTCAGCTGCTAACCAGAAGGTCATCAGTTCAAATTCACCAGCTGCTCCTTGGAAATCCTGTGGGGAAGTTCTACTTTGTCCTATAGGGTCACTATAAGTCAGAATTAACTCTATGGCAATGGTTTGGTTTTTTTGGTTTGGTGTGGATTAAGTAAACTAATATATGGGGAACACTTAGAATAGGCCTGACATAGTAATACTACAGATGTTTGAGGACTAGATTGAATTTTTTTATTCATTTATTCATTCAATTATACAACAAATATTGGGAGAAAAAACATCGCTACTCATGCATTGTTCCCTTAATAGATAATCTGTGATAACAAATATAAACCTAGCAATACTTCATTTTTTCTGTGGCCTGCTTGCCCCATCCAAAGTATAGTTACAGGTGTTTGTTTTTAGGACCTGAATTTATTTTATAGCCAATGTTTTTTCCAGAAATCCCTGTCTCCTGATGATGGTGCTATAGATACTTGGAACAGCATTGAGCTGGCTCTAAAATGTTCCCTCTGCTTTCTTGACATCCTGATTTCCTCATGATATTTGTTGTGTATTCAAACTATTTTCTTTCCATTGTTTCAGGCAGGGAAAGTTCAGTTTGGTTATGTGTACGGCATGAGTGCCATTGGCTGCCTTGGGATTCATGCCTTGCTGAACTTGATGAGCTTTTCAGAAGTGTCCTATGGCTGTGTGGCGAGTGTGCTTGGTTACTGCCTGCTTCCCATGGTCATCCTGTCCAGCTGTGCAATCTTCTTTTCACTGCAGTAAGTGTCTGCATCAACTAATTGATCCCACATGCACCATTGTCACTAAGGCTTGCCACACTGAGCAAAAGTTAACTTCTTTCTGATCATTTGGGTAGTGGAATTCAGGAAACTATGGCTATTAGACGCTTCACACAGATTCAAGAAAGTAGGTCAGTTTTTGTCTCAGGTGCTGTTCCTATTTCGATGATTTAAAAAAAGTTTACGCCAAGTTATCTCTAAAACTGGCATTTTTTTAAGTTGTCACATTCTTCAAGATGAACTATTGTTGTGGGTAATGCAACAACTACAGAAACTTCACTTGTTTGATTTTGGAAGAGTGTGTGGTGAACACTGACAAATTGCTTCAACTCCCAGGCATTCTGTCTTCTAGGCTGGAAGCAACTGTTCTTTCTCAGCTGGACTCCTTGCAGCACAGAATTCCCAGGAATCCTAATAAGGATGTTAGTGCTTGAGACTGTTACACAGATGCTCAGTCAATTTTTTTTTCTTCCTTCACTTAGTAATTGTAATTCAAAACTGTTAATAAGGATGCAGTAGATACACGTTTCCCTGGACATATGTAAGTTACTATCACTTAGGTTTGTGTAGTGATTAAGAGCTATGGCTGTTAACCAAAAGGTATTTGCAGTTCGAATCTACCAGCTGCTCGTTGGAAATCCTATAGGGCAGTTCTACTCTGTCTTATAGAGTCACTATGAGTTGGAATCGACCTAGACGCCAACAAGTTTGGTATGTTTTTTTTTTTAATCACTTAGGTTGGAGACAGCAAGTTGTCTTATAGTCCTTTGTCACCTGCTGTGCTCTAAAACCACCTAAAAATAAACATTTCCCATCAGTGCTCATTCTTCCACATTCACAGGAAACACAGTTTAAATTTTCTTTGTAGTTGATCCAAGTCATAGGTTATTAACACTACATTGTGTGAGATATTATATGAAGAATTTACCAATGCCACTGATGAACATCTTAGAAAAACCTTTAATATTTTGTTTTGATATAGTATCACAAAACTTTTTTTATAACATTCTTGGAAATGACTTAGTTGGAAATGGTTTTAATTTTTGTTTTAGTGTGATGTCATTTTTAAAATAACATTTTTGAGAATGACTTGGAGCAAACATTTATGTGATCAGGAAGTACTCTACTTTTTAAAAAGAGGAATATGACAGAAAATGGATACTTTAAATGTATAAATATAGCCTGAGTTATAGGTGTATTTCTTGATTCTTATCCATGGAAAAATTCCACAGTTTGTATATCATGTTCTTTAACAAGCTGTTCCATTTATTATGTTATTTAGTAAGACGTTTGACCTGTTAATACACAGTTTAGACTTTGCAACTGCTATTTTGTTAGATGCTTTTGCCAAAGAATATTATTATGACCAACCCTTTAAAAATTTCCACGTTTTAAACAATATTTTTAGCAAAGTTGAGATTTGTGGCATCTTAAATGACTCCAGAGGATTAGGGGTAGAAAATAAAAATTAAAATTCTTGCCTTTTGAAAGTCATGAGAAGCCTGGACCTTTTTCATCAGATTTTCATTCTTAAATTGATTTCTAAAAGGAGATTAAACTACCTGATCCCTAAGACCATTAAACTGGAATTTCTTTTTTGGGAATATTACTATATCATTCAAATTAATCATGTATAATTTTACATGTTTGTTCACAAAAAAACTATAAATTACTCTAGAAATGATTCATAATAGGTATTAATTAAATCAAAATATGTAACATTTATTGGGATATCTTTTAGATGTTTTGGTTTATTTATAACCTAAGGCATTATTAGTTATACTATACAGTTTGTAATTTTTTTACTTTACCTTGGTTATTAAAAGTAAGCATTTCTCTCATTCTTATGTATAAATAATAAACACATTTCTCAACTTCAGATTCAATGCAGGATCAAGTAAGGCCGCACAGTTTGGTGGTTGAAAGAATAATGTGCTAGAATATAGGAGATCTTGACCTAATGCCTACTTTACTATGTGATTTTTCCCAAGGCACTTCATTGCTTTAAAGTTGGGGATAAGATGGCCTCCTGAGGTCTTTCCTAGATCTTTTTTTTTTTTTTAATTGTACTTTAGGTGAAGGTTTAGAGAACAAGTATTTTCTCATTGAACAGTCAGTACACATATTGTATATGATGTTGGTTAACAACCTCACGACATGTCAACATGCTCCCTTCTCAGCCTTGAAGGACCTTTTTTTTTTTTTTGGTGAAAATATACATAGCCAAAGATACACCATTTCAAAAATTTCTACATGTACGATTCAGTGATGTCAATTACGTTCTTCCAGTTGTGCTGCTATTGTCAGTTTAGATGAAGGTTTACAGAAGAAAATAGTTTCTCATTAAACAGTTAGTACACATATTACCCTATGACAATGGTTAAGAACCCCACTACATGTCAACACTGTCCTTACTCAACCTTGGGTTCCCTATCACCAGCTTTCCTGTCCCCTTCTGCCTTCTAGCCCTTGTCCCTGAACTGCTGTGCCTCATTGATCCCGTTTTGTTTTATGGAGCTGTCCAATCCCCAGCTGAACGGTGAACCTTGGGAGTGACTTCACCACTGAGCTAAAAGGGTGTCTGGGGGCCATACTCTCAGGGTTTCTCCAGTCTCTGTCAGGCCAGTAAATCTGGTCTTTTTTTGTGTGTTAGAGTTTTGTTCTATATCCTTCTCCAACTCTGTCCAGAACCCTCTGTTGTGATCTCAGTCAGAGTAGTCAGTGGTGGTACCCGGGCACCATCTAGCTGTACTGGATTCAGTCTGGTGGAAGCCTTGGTAGCTGTGGTCCATTAGTCCTTTGGACTAATCTTTTCCTTGTATCCTGTTCTCTTCATTCTCCCTTGCTCCTGAAGGGGTGAGACCAGTGGAGTATCTTAGATGGCTGCTCACAGGCTTTTAAGACCCCAGACACTACTCACCAAGGTAGAATGTAGAACATTGTCTTTATAAACTGTTATGCCAACTGAGCTAGATGTTCCCCAAGACCATGGTCCCCACAGCCCTCTGCCCAGCAATTCAGTCCCTCAGGGAGTTTGGATGTGTCTATGCAACCTAGCTTTTATTTTTTATATTCCTAAATAATGCATTCTGTCTTGCACATAATGAAGGAAATTTACTCTTTACCACCCCCCTCTCCTATTTTGTCCCCCCAAGGTGAAAAGGATTAATTACCTCATTTACTCATTTGTACTTAAAGAAATGATTGCCACCATAGTTACTTTTTGAAGTACCAATTTGAACAAATTTATTTCAATATTCTGAAAAATTCACAAATACAAAATGGATATTCACAGATGAGGTTGGAGGCCACACACATAAGTGCTTTTCTGTTCCATATGTTCCCTACTTGAGCCACGGCAGGCTTTGCTAGCTGAGATACAGCCTTGGGAAGTAGAACCAGGAACAGTGGGAACAAAAATCACCCTACTAGAATATAAATCCATTATTCTTTCTGTCCATATTGTGGGTCAATTTAGGAAGAAAGTAGTAGAAAGGAAATATGTAGCTATAAGACAAGGCTGTAAGTATATTTTATGTAAGAGCATTTTAGGAGTTGGGATTTGAATGTTGACAGATGAGAGTGGCTGCAAATTAATTCTGTTTCTTAATGAAGTTTTTCTGAAGTTTAAAATGTTTATATGATTAGCCTTAGATGGTGAATTTGACTCAAAAATTTTCTAACTGGCAGAGGCCTTTGAGTTCATATGGTTCATCACGCCCTTTTTACAAATGTAGAATGTTTTATAAGTATTACACTGAGGATATTTCAGAGGCCGCTGTGACTCAATTATCTCATTTTACCATGCTGTAAGGTAATCATTTACTTTGTCTTTGCAATAGGGGAGCCACTGGAACCATGTTGGCACTGGTCATCGTTGGCTGGTGTAGCCTCTCAGCTTCTAAAATCTTCATTTCGGCCTTGGCCATGGAAGGACAACAGCTTCTCATTGCCTACCCTTGTGCCTTAGTTTATGGACTTTTTGCCCTCCTAACTATTTTCTGAAAGTGTTTTAAGTGTCCTTACAAGATTATTCTGGAAATACATTCTCATTCAAATTTAATAATATGATTTCTGTTATATTGCTGTTGAGAGAACAACAAGCAGAGAGACAAAAAAGCATTTAAGAGTGGTGCTCTAACAGCCTTTTAGGTTTGAAAGATGTTTTGCTTTTTAGCATGGTGCATTAAAACATTGTAGACATCTTACTTTAAAATAAAATGTAATTAAAATGTTCATTTCTTTTCCCCATAACTCTTAATGTAGGGATATAGTTGTTATACTGATGAACCTTGTTTCTCTCAATAGATGTATTTCTGAGAAACTGTAAGTAAATAAAATCATATGCTATTTGAAAGAAATCTATAGTGAGCCTTTGAGAAACCATCAGGACAACTCATATGTGTGCATGTTGTTAAAATCTCACTGTCCAGAATCTTTGGAGACTACCATGGGTGAATTAAGTAGGGTTGTTTTTGTTTTTTTCTTTTTTTTTTTTACTCAAGGATTCAAAGAACCTCCGGTCTTTCAATTCACTTTCTTTAACAACTGCCTCTTTGGTCCCATTCAGACAATTCATTAAGTCAGTACTTTTTCAAGCCCTCACTTTTCTCTTACTCAGTTTAAATGCTGTGGTCCATCACTATTATTTCTTTTTTTATAATTTATTTTATTTTTGTTGTAGTTGAGAATATGCAGAGCAGAACATACACCAATTCAACAATTTCAACATATACAATTCAGTGACATTGATTACATTCTTCAAGTTGTACAACCATTCTCACCCTCTTTTCATAACTATTATTTCTTGTTTGCGTATATTTTCAGTATCATTACCACTTGCTCCCTAAGCAGCTGTGTGTGACTAGAGGAAGTACTACTTGTTTCACATTAAATTATATTAACATATCTTAAATGGCTTCTCAATCCTGCCCTTAAATCCCCTAGTAAATATGCTTTCATACTTTCTAAGATTTCTTCACTTTTTAAGTCTCCAACACCAACTACCTAGAATTAGGACACAGTCTTCTACAAAACTATCCTCACTTCTGACCAGCTGGCTAAAAATTCAAGGGCCCCCATTACCACCTCAAACCAAAACACCAAACCCGTTGCCGTCAAGTCCATTCCGACTCATAGTAACCCCACAGGACAGACTAGAACTGCCCCGTAGGATTTCCAGGAAGTGAGTGGTGGATTCGATCTGCTGACCTTTTTCTGGTTAGCAGACAAATGTTTAATCACTACCACCTCAGGTTTGATAATTCGCTAGAAGGACTCATAGAACTCACTGAAAGCACTATACTTATGACTTATATACAGTTTATATGCTTATATGCGGTTTTATTATAGCAAAATGATTCAAATCAGAACGAATCAATAGGAAAGACACATAGGGCAAGATCTGAGAGGACCTCAAATGTGAAACATCTGTGTCACCGGGAACATGTCATCCTCCTGGCACATAGTTGTATGTGGAATATTGTTGGTCAAGAAGCTCACCCAAGCTTCAGTATCCAGAGTTTTTATTGGGGCTTATTGTATAGGCATGACTGATTGAATCATCGACCATGTGATTCAACTCAATCACCAGGCCCCCTTCCCTTGCTGATGGTCAGGCTGATATCATATGGCTCAAAGCTCCAAACCTCTAATCACAGGGTTAGCCTTTCTGGCATGAGCAGCCCCCCACCCGCAGAGTCATCTTGTTAGCATAAAGTATTGAGGGTCTGACCATGAGTTATCTCTTTAATATACACAGGTGTGGTGTAAGGGGCTCACCATGAAAAGCAAAGAGTCCAATCACTTGGGAAATCCTGGGGGTTTACTGATTACCTCCCAGGAGCCAGGGACAAAGGACAGACATTTATTTGGGTAAAGTCAATTCTTCACTACACACACTCCTCTCTCATTTATCATTGTTGATTGATGGCCTTTACTGAAAAAATAAAAACATCCAGAAGAAACCGCCTTGTCTTCCCACCATCAGATCTATCAACCTACCTGCATCTGTATCCTTACATGCTGCCTTCTGTCCTGTTTCTCTCCACAACCAGCTGCTCCACCTGCATAACCAGTGTTTTCTTCTCCATCTATCATTACTTCAGCATTTAATATTTCAGTGTCTCCTATCTTAAAAATTCTTTTATTCAACACTACTATCCAGTTATGGTCCAAATTTCTGTTCTTCTTAATAGCAAAAATACTTGAAAGAGTTGTCTATTATCTTTGCTCCTATTTTATCACCTCCCATTCTCTCTTTCTTACAGTGCAATCAGGCTTTTCGTCCACTGATTCACCAAATCCACCTTTATCGAGTCAGCACCAACCTCCTCATCTTGCCAGATACAATGGTTAATTCTCAGTCATTCATTTTATTTGGACTCTCAGAGGTATTTGATCACCCTCCTCGACACTCCCTGCAAGCTTGGTTTCTGGAGCATCCATTTTCTTTTTTTTTTCCTACCTCATTGATGGCTCCTTATTAGTGTCCTTGGCTGGCCTCTCTTCCTCTTGTCAACCTCAGATTTGTTTTCTATCTACACTCACTTCCCAGATGAGCTCATTCAAATCTAATAAGTGAAAATTTATATCTCCCATCTAACTCTGTATCCTGCACTCTTTACACATATATCCAACTTAAAGTTGATAACTCCATTTGTTTTTATTATGATAACCTCAAAAATAGCATGTCTGAAACCAAACACTTGACTTCCACTCCCAATCTACCTATTTCTCTTCCAAACATTCCCATCTTTATAACAGGATCCACAAATAACCAAGTTTCTCAGTCTAAAAACTAGTAGTCTGGCTTCCTCTTTTACCTTTACTCCCAACATCTAATCCATCAGAAAGTCCTGTTGACCCTATATTCAAAATGTATCCCAAATTTGACCATATCTCATGAGCTTCTTCACAGCCTACTCTGTACTCCAAGCCACTATCCTCTGTTGTGTTGCCTAATTGAAGCAGTCTCCGAACTGGTCTCTCTGCTTCCTTCTACTCTTACTTCCTAACAGTCTTTTCTCCACACAGCAGTCAGAGTAATCTTTCTAAAAGGTAAATAATGTTGTCCTAAGCCTAGACCTTTTAATGGCTTTCATTCACATTTAGAATAAAACTAAAATTCCTTTCCATAACTTAGAGGCCAGTTGCAAGTTGTGGAATCACCTTGCAGAAAGCCATTTGGCCTTTGGTCTTGGTTCCTGTCAGCTGGACAAACATCTGAGGCTAATCAGTGGGGTTGACCAGTCTAAGAGGGATCACTTGGGGGCCTGATGCTGACTAAGCCTTATGAGGTATGATCCATCCTGGCCATGTGGTGAGGCCGATAAAGTCCGTGGAAAAAGAAGGCTCATGGAGCTTCCTGGTTGGTGATCATGCATGGGGAGGGTAGTGTGTCCCTCCTTGGAACATGAAAGCTCCGTGCCATGACCCTTTCTAGACATTAATTTATGCATCTCTTCATTTGTGTTCTTTTTTGTTATGTTAAAGCTGTTTATCACAGTTATGGTGTCTCTATGAGCTTTGTGAGTCATTCCAGCAAAGGACCCAAAGAAGTAGGTGGAGCTGGCTGACCTGATCGGGAGGTAGTCATGTGCACTCCAGGGCTTGCAGCTAGTACACTGAGGGGGTAGAGGAAAACCCTAGGTTTGGGGCCAGCTGGTCTGAAGTGGAGGGAATCAAGAGGGACTCTCAAGCTTGCAGTCAGTACCCACTGACCCAGCCCACAGATATGGCTGGTGATGAGAGACAGAAGGGCTGCATGGGCAGCTGCAGTCTGAACTGAACAGGGAAGGAAAGCTGAGATTTCCATGGGATGTAGCTGGCATGTGCTTCCATGGGTGTTGATTGTGGATCCAAGTAAAATGAAATCCTGGAAAACCTCTATCTTTTCTCCATTTATCATGATATTGCTTATTGGTCCAGTTGTGAGGATTTTTGTTTTCTTTATATTGAGATATAATCTATACTGAAGTCTTTTATCTGCATCAGTAAGTGCTTCAAGTCCTCTTCACTCTCAGCAAGCAAGGTTGTGTCATCTGCATAACACAGGTTGTTAATGAGTCTTCCTCCAATCCTAATGCACCATTCTTCATATAGTCCAGCTTCTCAGGTTATTTGCTCAGCAAACAGATTGAATGGGTGAAAGGTTACAACCCTGATGCACACTTTTCCTGACTTTAAACCACGCAGTATCCCCTTGTTCTGTTTAAACGACTGCCTCTTGGTCTGTGTACATGTTTCTCATGAGCACAATTAAGTGTTCTGGAATTCCCATTCTTCACAATGTTATCCATAATTTGTTGTGTTCTACACATTGAATGCCTTTACATAGTCAATAAAACACAGATAAAACATCTTTCTGGTGTTCTGTGCTTTCAGCTAAGATCCATCTGATATCAGCAGTGATATCCCTCATTCCGCGTCCTCTTCTGAATCTGGCTGGACTGTCTGGCAGTTCCCTGTTGATGTACTGCTGCAACCACTTTTGAATTATCTTCAGCAAAATTTGACTTATGTATGATATTAGTGATATTGTTCGAAAATTTCCGTTGGATCACCTTACTTTGGGATGGGCACAAATACGGATCTCTTCCAGTGAATTGACCAGGTAGCCATCTTCCAGATTTCTTGGCATAGACAAGTGAGTGCCTCCAGCGCTGCATCCACTTTGTTGAAACATCTCCGTTGGTATTTGTCATGGATTGAATTATGTCCCTCAAAAAATGTGTTTATCAGTTTGGCTGGGCCATGATTCCTGGTATTGTGTGGTTTTCCTGTAAGTTGTAAATCCTGCCTCTATGATGTTAATAAGGGAGGATGGGCGGCAGTTGTGTTAGTAAGGCAGGACTCAGTCTACAAGATTGGATTGTATCCTGAGGCAATGTCTTGAGATATAAAAGACAGAAGTGAGCAGTGAGATGGGGGACCTCATACCACCAAGAAAGCAGTGCCGGGAGCAGAGCGCGTCCTTTGGACCGGGGTCCCTGTGTAGAGAAGCTCCTAGTCCTGCCTGGGGAACACCGAAGAGAAGAAGGCTGACAGAAAAAGCCTTCCCCTGAAGCTGATGCCCTAAATTTGGACTTCTAGCCTACTTTGACTGTGAGGAAATAAACTTCTCTTCATTAAAACCATTCA